TGTGCAGGACCAGGGCCGGCGAGATATGGGGGGGGGGGGGGGGGGGGGGGGCCCTTGTGCAAACGAACGCGCGGGGGCCATGGGAAAGACCGGAGCACACGTTTTTCCCCTCTCTCCTCCCTGCTTCTGTCCCATTCTCGCCCTGCTTCTCTGGTCGGCTGTTGGCTGTTTCTTTTCTCCTGCCAGGGCGGCAGATGCCCCTCAGCATGGCATATTTGTGTTTACCCGCTCCCGCCCCCATCCGGTCCGCCCACCATGTTACATGCTGTATCGAAATACAAAGACACACCTCACTCTGTTGTGCTCATTCTGCTTCCCCCGCCTTTTGCCCTGCCTCCCTGGGCCCCTGCCTCCTCCTTCCCTTGCCAGCCCCTCCCCAGGACGCGGTCATTCTGTCGGGTGTTTTTGTCCGCATGCCCTGTGGGGGTATGATCGGTGGCAGTCAAAGATCACGCCACATAGATCTTTTAGTGATCTCGTGCCACCGGGTCGTCAGTATGGAGTCAGGCAGATCGTGCATGAGCCCGGCTGCCCAGCAGCCTCGGCGGCCACTGTGGTGGGTTGGGCCCGGCGTCGGTGGTGCGCCTCGCCTGCCCTACTTCACCCCTGGGCCACCCCGGAAGGCATGGTCCTGGTCGTTGTTTGCCCCCGCATCTCTCCGGCCCATCCTTCCTGGCAGGGTGCCTGCGTATCAGCGGCTGGTGAGGGACAGGCCCCGACGGGTGGGGGGGGCTGAGAGATGGCGCCGCCGATCGGTCACCCAGGTTCGCAGGCTCCTTTTCGGCTCTCTTTCTGCCGGGCCCGCGCGGGTCCCAGAGGGCTTTAGAAAGACACCCCCCCCTCCGTCTTCGACTTGTGTCCCCCCTCCTCCTCTCTCTCCCACTCTCTCTCTCTCTCTCTCTCACACACACACACTTCTCCCGCTCACCAGCCGATTGCTCTCCTTTCTCCTCCTCCCTCTTTCTCTCTCTCCCTCTCTCTCCCTCTCTCTGGCCGTACATATGGCCCCGGACAATGCCAATCCCCTCGTTTACGAGGAAGAGGAGGTCGGCCACACCTGGGTCCCGGGTGACTTGACCCCTTACCTCTTGACGGCCTGCTCCGGCCAGGCAGCCCCCTCCTCGCAGGAGGTATTGGCCGCAGGGCGTCGGTCGCATGCTGTTCGGCAGCTTACGGCTGCTGCACTGAAATCCACCTCGGCCACCATCGGGTCCTCATCCAGCCACAGCGGCCTGCTGGAGGCCGCCTGCCAGGATCATTTTACGCCGGTTCTATTTTCTCATGCGCCGGACTTGCTGTTTGGCGAGGGCTTCGATGGCCCCGGGGGAGTGGTTGAAGAGATGTCACCGAGCACCGACTTCCCGGATGTCGAGCCGATTGACCCCGATGAAATCTACGGTGCGCCTGCCCCCCCTCCCCTCCTCCCTCCCATTGTTCGCCTCTTCCCTTCCTCTTGGTGGGTTCTGACCAAGGCGTGTGCACCACCGTCAGGTCTCATCCAGGGGATCTCGGACCCGGAGCACCCTCTGTCTCTGGGGCAGCTGCGTGTCGTTCAGCGTGGGGACATCTGGGTTGGCGACCGGGCCCCGGCTGCCTCGCCGACTGGCCAAGATGGTAGCAGCTCCGATGGGGCTGCTGGTGCCGATGGCGCCATCGACAGTCCCTGGAGCGGGGCCCTTCTTCCTCCCTGCGAGGGGGCAGCCATCGACATCCGCCCCGGGGACCTGCTGGCCCAGGGTGGTGCACATGGACTGTCGCTTCTGTCGCCGGTCGAGTCGCCAGGAATCGATGTGACCATCCACCTGACGCCCACCATCCCGCACTGCTCGCTGGCAGCCCTGATCGGTCTATGTGTGCGGGCCCGCCTCGACCGAGCCTTGCCCTCGCAGTACAATGTGCGTGTCCTCGAGCGTGGCCCCCTCCCGGCCACCTGCTCTTCTGCTCTTCATCAATTCCATGTCCAGTGACTCACTTGTCCCCCGCCCCCTCCCCCCCCCCCTCCCCCATCATCTTTCCGTCTTCCCTCCTACCCAGGTCTCGGTGAGTATTGCTCCAGGAGCGCACTCTTCGGAGGCGGCCCTGAACCGGCAGCTTTCAGACAAGGAGCGCCGCACAGCGGCCGTTGAGAATGCCCGTCTGGCAGCTACCATAGACTCTTGTTTGAGCTCGTGCGAGAATTGAGTCCACGCGTGAAGCGCCTCATGCATGTCGCTGGACAGGGGGAAAAAAAAAGACACAATTCATACAGCGTTTGTTTTTTGGGAAGAGGCAGAGACAAGATCCCGCCTGGGACCCGGGTCTGCTACATGGTGTATTCATATATGCTCGGGTGGTCCCTCGGCAGGGGGAGGGGAGGAAAAAAAAAGGACAAGCTGCGTCCCTCTCAGGAGAGGAGGAAATGCGAGGGAAGGATGACAACCGGACCACTCTAATCGGCGTCAAAGGGACAAGACGGGAGGGGGAGAGGAGGGGGGGGGGGGGGAGGACAGCAAGACACGCAACTGGAGGCGACAGGAGGATGCCCGTCCTCAGTAGATGAGCCAGATCAGAGGAATGCACAGAACCATGGAGAAGAAGGTGAGAGGCACACCAAGGCGCGCAAAGTCACCGAAGGTGTATCCGCCCGGGGTGGTGATCATGACGTTGGTCTGGTAGGAGATGGGCACGATGAAGGTGGTGGAGGTAGCCACCATCAAGGTGAAGGCCACAATCTCGGTGGACACGCCGGACTCCTTGGCCATCTCGTAGGCAATCGGGAAAACCAGTGTCGCGGTGGCCGGGTTGGAAATAACCTGTGTAAAGATGACCGTAATGAGGAAGACACTGAGTGCGCGCGGGGTTCCGACAGCCAAGTAGGGAGAGAGAAGAGAAGGAGAGACGGAGGGGGGGGGGGAGGGGAGGGGGAGGGAGGTAG